CCCTAAATCCTAAACCCTAAGCCGAGCGTGCTTCCCAGGAGGCTTTTCGGGCTGGTGAAATTGCATTCGAACCGTTCTCGAACTCGAACTTAATTAGTGTAGCCAACGATCTCAGAGGTTTTTCAGCTTTCGGAGCAGTTGTAGCATGTCAAAGCCCGAATTCCAGGCTTGGTGTTGCAAAACGAAAGGCGCTGCCTTCAAAGTGCTTTGGCACAGGGCTTGTTACGGTAGGGGCCTTAATCGGCCCATTATACTAATTTAGTATATATACTATAATAATCGGAAAAAGGAACCCCACAAAATAGTATTCTAATAATTAAGGCCCCTTCATTACAGTATTTCAGCCTTAACAATAAAGACGGGGTTGGGGGCTCGGGGTCTGGTGTCGTTCTTCAGGAACCATAACAGGATGTGACATTAGCGCGCCCGTCGAGGATGCAAGTCACCCACAAGCCTGCCGGGTTTAAGATTATTCATACTAGAGAAGCAAAATGAAATCCTCACAGCTAAACCATCAATGCAAGGACATCTAATATAGGAGCCTCCGTACTTACCAATACAACTTTGGGGTTCCTTTCTTTATTAATTCAAGTAAAATATATCCTAAAACCCTATTCTAATCATTAAGGCCCGTTTTCTTAGCCAAGACTCGTCTTCCCAAACTTCAATCGATTTTGCCTCCCTTCCGCCGTGTTGGCCACGTCCTAAGCTTAGCTCTGGGGCTTAGGACTGTTGGCAGGCTCGGGGTTTAGGGATGAGGGTTCAGGGCCGGAGGGATTAGGCTTGAGGGTTCAGGGATGAGGGTTTAGGGTCTAGGGTTCAGGGTTTTGGGTTTAGGGTTTAAGGCTCAGGATGTAGGGTTTTAGGGCTCAGGGTTTTAGGGTTTAGGGTTTACGGTTCAGGGTTCAGGGTTTAGGGTTGAGGGTTTTAGGGCTTTAGGGCTTCCGGGTTTTAGGGTTTAGGGTTACAGTAAGGGTTAAGCGTTTAGGGTTTAGGTTTTGGGTTCAGGGTTTGGGTTTCAGAAGGGACTGTCATGGGTCCAGGGTTTAGGGTTGAGGGTTTAGGGTTTAGCGATTCTGGCTTAGAGCTAAGGGATTAAGGTTTAGGGTTCAGGGGTTATGGTTCAAGACAAAAGGCTTTACGGAGTAAGCCTTAAAAAGTAGGTAAACACAATTCCCAGCCCCGACAAATTGCTCTAGAGTACGTGCTTTCTGGTCCAGGTAATTAGGCATTCCCATAAACCCCTAAACCCTCTACCCGACTCTACCCTTAAACCCTTACCCTAAACCCTAA